ACGCTAATGGGAGGTCATTAATTTTAGTCTATTAAATGTGTAAGAAAATAATTTTCCTGCAGGATAATATTTCAGATTGACGTGCACGTGAAATAATAGGGATTTACAAAATTGGTAATGTGCTGTTAACTTTTTCTTGTAAAAAAAATGAAAATTATGATAAGGAAAAGATTTTTCCCCAATAGAAATGCCCTTTGAAATGTAAGTGTCACTTACTCACTGGGAAGTATTGCAGTGGTGAGACGAATGAAGTATTAAACGACATTATACTCTAATTTTTATTTTATAATTATTAAAACATCTATCGTTGGTTGCTACTCATTAGCAATTTTACACAGTGAATTTTTATTCTTTCACGTACATCTGTGGTATATTCTGATGGCAACTGTATTGTAATTCTGTAAAAAAAAATTCAATATCATAAATTCATCTAAAAACGTTTACTTCTGTAAATATAAGATATGCGTGTCTATTATTCAAGGCTGTATATTGTCCTCTAAATGTCATTGTTATTTTTGTTGCTGGGTTTCTGTCTCATGAACGTATATCACATATATCTTTTTATCAATATATAATACCGATTTCATTGCAATGTACACGTGTTTCTTGAATAGTCACCTACAAGTAAGTTTAGGGAGCCATATAGAAAAAAACGTTTTGAAGCGGTTAAAACAGAAAGTGAAAACTGTTTAAATAATTCGTACCGTATTGAAAATTGGGTTTAACTTTAATAAATAATTGAAAACATCTTGAATGTAAGATATCCTTATCTTACGTAAAGGGTTCCGCGGAACCCTTGTGTCACGCCTTCTATTGCTGCTGTTATAGTAAAAGTGTACATACATTGTAGCTAAGTCCATTTATCAGTAAAATATTTTCTTCAGATGCTACTTAGTGATATTCAAGAAGATTCTACAACTTTTTGCATTATGTGTTAATTAATAAAAAGCGTTTGGTAAAGTTTCATAGAATTCTATGAAGGTTTGACAAAGTTATTGCTGTCTAAAGAAAATTTTAACCCAAGACTGTATCTAAATGTTAACTGCAAACAAAAACACTTAGTCCTTTAGCAGTTAGATACAGAAAGAGGGTAAAAAATCTAAATTTTGCTCTGGATAATGTATATTTACTATAAAAAAGCTTTTGTCCAAGTTTCATTGAATTTCATGAAGGTTTGACAACAGATATTCTTGGAAGACCAAGGGACAAAGATGTGAACAATTACAGGTCACTGAACGACATTTAACCATGATCTAAACCCATACCGTAATCTGCTATTAAGGGCATACGATACAGTTTTGATCCAACGGTGAAAATCTGCTTATACAAGCTATTTGTCACTGAGTTAATTCAAATATGTAATAAAAAATATACCTTCATGTGCTAAATTTAGAGATAAATGGGGTCGAAATTTTAGACATTTACTTAAAATTTCGGTTTCTTGTACATTTCTATCCTTTGGACACTGAGACATACCTAACTTTTTTTGTTTCAAAAGATAAACACATGCGGATGTTTGTAAAACGATTTGGAATATCATCTTAACAAAAGTATGTTCTTAATTTGTGTAACAGTTCTTTGAAAATAATTCATTTTTATTAAAGTTTCATGATTTCAGTAAAAAACGGCATTTTTTGCTGCATATTTATCTGATCATAGTTTAAAAAAAAAATCATCGGTGATTTTTTCATAAAATTTAGAACAAATAAACTTCATACAGTATCAAGTAATTTGTCATTCTAAAAAAGAGGGGTCCATGTACTCTTTTTCAAGCTAATGATTAAAATCCCTAGAAAAATGCATCTTTTCCCGATAAGTCGCAGTTTGACGTCGCGAAAGAAAACATATTACGTTAGCAATGTCATTACCTCCCCTGTAACTGTATCATATGCCCTTAAATGTATACATGTATGTGGCTTTGTATATCTAGGATTATACATAATAAAATACCAGCAGATACTTACATGACCTCTTTTCTTTTTGTATTCAGGCCCTTGGTCTCCGCCGATTCCTTTATCACAAGTGCATATCTAACGGTTTCTCCTACAAAACAAGTCATCGTATGATATAATCCTCTATAATTCTCACGTCATCACATAAACAGAAAATATTTTAGATATAACAATGCAGTCAATATTTATAGAATAACTAATCGAAGAATTCAAATAGAGAAAAATATTCAACGAGTGACCGAACAACACATTAGTTCACGAATGCGCGTAGCGCATGAGTTAAATATCAGTGTTGTTCGGTCACGAGTTGAATATTTTTCGATATTTGAATTCTTTGATTAGTTATTCTTTTTATTACATTGGCAAATGGCTTTTTTTTATGAAATTAAAGTAGAAAATGTAAGGAACTATATCTTTCTACGCATTCACAATTTGTTTTGATCCCGCGACGTTATCGTAGTCTTGACAACGCCTATTGTTGTATGACGTCAGAGGAGTGAAATAACCACGTTTATTTCACATGTGAAATCTTCGATTAGTTATTCTATAAGTAATTCATTGCAACCAATGTAATAATCTAGTTTATTATAAATAGAAAATTCAGTGTTATTTTGAAATTCTTATTGCAGAAATTAAATTTATGTGTACAAAAATATGCTTGACTTTTGCTTTATTTGGGCCAATTTTCGTTTGTTTGTTTTGTTTTTGTTTTTGTTTTTGTTTTTATTTTGAACTTTTTACTTTATACGACTAGCATAGATATTTATGAACTGACCCTTCATCTTTTATGAAGCATATCTTTTTAAATAAATTGTTTGATCCTAAATTTATTTGAAAATATATAATTTATTTTAAAAAGGTAAGTGAAATAGATAGTGTGTTTCTACTGAAATTAGTATGAAAATAGGAAGATGTGGTATGATTGCCAAAAAGACAACTATTCACCATAGACCAAATGACGTAGATGTTACCAACTATATGTCACCCTACGGCGGCCGCGCAGGGGCGTATCTTCCCGGAAGCATGACAGCACGTGCATCCACGTCGTTTTCACCAACAACAAAAAAAGAAGAGAGAGAGAGAGAGGGGGACAAAGTTAACTTATAGGAATTGGTCTTTCTATGTATCTATTTTAAAAACTACACAAAGAATAAAAGCAAGAGGAATAAACATGCAGCGAAATTTTTAGTCCTGTAAGACATGTATGTGTACGATAAATGCATACAACTGGTGTAAACATAGTGGAACTTTTTATATTACGGACATTGTTTAGAAAAACAGCTACATAATGTCGGTACCACCGCCATAACGTATACCAGCATTGAGTGCAAAAAACAACATATAATCCGTTTAGGGTTAACAAAAAAACTTGAAAATTATTATTTTCCGCTTCGCCCCAAAGCACACATCTTACTAGAACGAAGACTCTTCAACTTGTATCGATCCGGGAATAACGACTGTTACCTTGTGAACTAGTTAAAAAAACTTGACCAAGTATGTAGGTCTTGACAACACGAATACTTCATTTTCACATCACGTCAACGTATTCTCGTCCTGATGTGCATGTAATATTTGCTACTGGACATTAATAACCATTCAATCAACAACTAGTTTCCGTAAACTAATAGACGAGAAGTTGGAACTGCTGTTATTATGAAAAAAGTACACATTTCCAGTACATGTATTACATATTTTTTTATTTATTTTACAAAAAAACATCTTGTATACTGAACTATTTGGTCATTCAATTTTATAATGAATTTTCTGTCCGAGTCGGACACTAAACTGCGGATTCTTGTTCAAACGAAACACCAAACTTTTAATACACGTATCTTCACTGTTATCATCTAGATATTGCAATTCAACTTGTCGAATGCATATGTATTTGTTAATTAGCTGGATAATTAACAAACGCAGATCATTTAAAGATCGTGATCAAAGTACCATTCCCTCTGAAAAAGTTCCTTAATTTCAACTTCAAGAATTCCTAACTGCGTAAAATAAGAAATTCCTATCTCTCTCTCTTGTAGAGTTTACCCATAGAATTTTTAAACATAAAAAAAATTATGTTCAGCAAAATATTGGAGAATGTGTCCACCAAGTATTTGGTATCCAAAGATGTTAATGCTAACAAATTCCATGCATGCACATATAGTATTGTGTTTATGTTTATTGTTTGTTTTTTATCCATCTACTTTGCTCAATACAAATACTAGCATATGGAACAAACCTCCGTGATTTTAAAAGCTCTCATGGCGTACAAAAAACGCAAACTACAATGTTTAGTCTTCATTCGACTCGAAGTTAAACAAATAGTTGACCAAAAAACCACAACAAAAATATACAAGTTTTATTACGGTTGTGATTGTTTTGAAACGCTATATATGCGAATTTTCCGGGGGGGCTTCACCCCTATGACCCCCCTACCAGGGCTTTGCCCTGGACCTACTGGGGGCCTTAGGCGGCCCCCAGACCCCTCGCCCTTTAGTTTGTGATTCCACTTCATTAAGTAGGTAGCTACGCCAACAATGCAGGAGCAAACTCCAAACCGTATAGCTATAGAAAGCCCCGACAAAACAAACTGTAAAACAATTCAAATGATTTGTGTACTAAACAACAAACGAAAAAAACAAATTTAATATAAAAACGACAACCACTGAATTACAGGCTCCCGACTTGGTACAGACACATACATAATGTGTAGGGACGGAGGGTAAATAGATGTAAGAAGATGTGGTATGAGTGCCAATTAATGAGACAACTCTCCATCCAAGTCACAATTTATAAAAGTAAACCATTATAGGTCAAAGTACGGTCTTCAACATGGAGCCTTGGCTCACACCGCAAAGCAAGCTATAAAGGGCCCCAAAAATTACTAGTGTAAAACCAATCAAACGGGAAAACCAACGGTCTAATTTATATAAAAAACGAGAAACGAGAAACACTTATGAACCACATCAACAAACGACAACTACTGAACATCAGATTCCTGACTTAGGACAGGTGCACACAATTGCAGCGGGTTTAAACGTTTTAATGGTACCAAACCTTCACCCTTATCTGAAACAATAGCGTAACATCACAACATAGAAAGACACACTATAAAATGTCAATTGAAATGGCTTAACTCAATCAAAAGACATATTAACACAAGTGAACATACACTGAACGAATAAATTTGATCTATGATACAATGCAAATACAAAATCAATAAAATAAGGGATGAATAATTAAGGTAACAGTATTATACCGTTGTGAAATGTTAAACAATTTCAGAAAAACAACAATAACCTTAAACAAAAATCCGCCATTCACAATAATATTATACACAGGTAAATGAAAATAATTTTGTTGTTAGGTATACAGTTTAAAAGGAGAAAGGAAATATTTTTACAAAATAAATAATTTTGATGTACATAGTTCGAAGAAGTGAAAATTCATAGTAATACCAAACACTTATTAAAGTTGGTATATAGACCAGATATAACCCTGAATAAGTAAACATTAAATAACAAAAAAGTACTACTAATAGTATCAACAGGTCAAATTAACAAGAAAGTACGATTTGAGAGTACTCGCAATTACTGACAGCTAGTTAAAAGCCAAAAACAATTAATAATAAAAAATCATGCATCAGAGACTAAAATCAAAGTTGAACATGTTTCCAGGCGGTGGAATAGGTCTTGACTCATCAGATTGATATAAAGCACAAATACAAATAACAAAAGATACCGGTCTGATAGTACTCGCAGTTACTGAACGCTAGTTCCAGGCCAAGAACAAGTAATAATATATAAAGATGGGGAGATGTGGTATGATTGGCAATGAAACAAATGTCCAGCTGAGTTAAAATGAAGTGGTAGTAAGCAATCATAGGCTACCGTACGGCCTTCAATAATAAGAAAAAAAAACATACTATATAGTCGGATATACAAGACCCTAACATGCGAAATGTGAAACAATTCAAACGAGAAAACTAACGGCCTAATTTATAACAAAACAATTTACGAAAAACAACTATGACAGACAAGAACCAAAAACAACCACTGTATTACAAGCTCCTGAGTTTGGACAGGCACATAAAGAATATATGCAATAAATTTAGAAAGTATTAAGAAATTAAGGTTTCAACTCGCTCAAGAAACTTCGACTTTAGATTGATCTCGCTATTCGTTTTATGCTTCTTTCGGTATTTTCATTTTACAGAAAAGGAAAGTCCTTCTGGGTTAAAGAAGGAAAAAATCCTCCACCAAATCCCCACACACACAAATAATGAAAGCTCGCTGCTTTACACTTGAACTAGTTGAATAGTAAAATATTTTTTTTAAATAGAAACAAGTCAAAGGAAATATGATCAGTCGACTACTGCGACTGGTGAATAAGTTAACTTTGCACGTTTGATACCGAAATTTAAAAATAAAATAAAATGATTGAATAATAAAATCGCATAGATTTCATGTTGATATCGGCAAAATTTTCTTCTCAAAACTTTGGATGTTAACTGTAAATAATATTAAAGTTTATGAAGAGGTTGTGTTTTGTATCATTCCTTTATTTTAGCCAAGATCTAAGATCTGATACTGCATGAAAATGATAAACAATGGCGCGAAAACGTGAGATGAAATATGATATATTAGATGAGAATCTACTGAAGTGTTTGTTAATGAATTATTCAACTTGTCTACAAGGAAAAGAGAATCTGATTTTTTTAAAGGAAACGATTTAAAGGCATGTTATCCGAAAAATTGAAGGTGAACATAAGATTCATCATACCGAATATTTGTAAGTACATGTAGCTTTTTCTCAACCATAGCAGAATCTTCAACACCATACAGAAGACTACAGCGGACAAAAGAAAGTACAGTGCCAATGTCTGAAAGAAAGATTATATTTCATACTACCTTTGTCCTAGATGTGAAGTAAAATCATTCAGACTATTATAGAAAATAAATATATTAAGCTTCCTTATGGTAAAGTCTTGGGTAAAATAACTTGGTAATGTTGTGTAATTGTTCATTTGTTGTCTTATGTGATTTTTTCATCTTATGTCTCTATAATCTTGTTCAATTTATATTACGTATCAAAGTTGTAACCTGATAAAAAAAAGGCATAGATAAATCTATAATTATTGAGCTTTCGTGCATCTAATTATATCTGTTCATTTCAATAAATTGTGTCCATATCTACGAATTAACATACCTGCAATAAATCTACAACGGTAGGACAAACATTACGTGGCTTTCCAAATATCCAGTGCAATGGTGTCCACTGAGGTTCTTCACTTAAACGTAAAACAAAGAATTAATAGAATTGTTGAAATTCAGTTGCACGTCTTGAATTTGATTCCTTTCACATATCAGTTAATCATTATCTAACTATATATGGTTAATTAACCTTTATATGGATCTAAAAAAATAGATTTTATGAAATATATAACTTACCAATTAAAATATCTCCACAATACCATGTATGAGAGTATACCCATGTTGATAAACGCCATTGCTTCACGAAAATGAAACGTGGTTTCCAAGCCTGATGAAACGAACGTCATAATGCTTCAAGGTCTGTCAATCGCCCTCAGCTGAGTCTGCCTCGTATGACAATTCCATCTCACTCCAACTTTTCTGTTAAATGTTACTCAGAAGGTTGTATGGTCCAAATTTTTTAGATGCAATGTTTGTTCCCGAAAAAAAAGATTGTAACGCAACCAGCTCATTTTTTAACTCATAATATTGAAGGAATCACACCTTTCCCTAGGAATTTACACTTAGGTGAACATGGATATCGACAATGACTCTAAAATAAATGTATGAAACTTTTAAAGTCATGCATTAAACATACAAACTTATTGTAGATACCATTTTGTTTTTGTTTATCGTTTTTTTCCATAGAACAATTCTTAAAAATAAATATAATTGTTAAAATAAGTATGTATTAATTCATATAACTAAGAATACTAAAAAGAAAAGAAATGAAAGATAAAAATTTGGTCCCGATTCCAAAAACAATGATCTATTTCATACTCCAACTGAAAGTGAACACTTTGTACTAGTAAAAGACGCTTTTAATATATTTTATGTATTGTTTTAATTTACATTCCGGTATTAAGAAACTATCAGATAACCATGACAGCAGTTAACATTAGCTTATATTCTGGGATAAAAAGATCATCACGGAAACGATTCCCTTTGCTTCGGAAATTCAGAGTCCGTTTGAATTAATTGTAATATCACTACGGAAACAAAATTAACTACTCCGATGTGATTTATATCCTAAATAGTGTACAGGCTGTTAAAATAATGTTGAATTCTTTTGAGTTAAGTCTTTTGAAACTGGTCTTTATATTTTGTTCTTATGGTGTGCAGTTATACCACTGCCTCCAGATTAAGGGAGGGTTGGGCGCTCCAGACATGTTTAACCCCGACACATCACATTCTTTATGTGCCTGTCCCAACTCAGTAGCTTGTAAATCGGTGGTTGCCGTTGGTTCGTGTCTGTCATATTTGTATTTCGTAAATTATATTGTTATGAATTATGCCGTTAGTTTTCTCGTTTGAATTGTTTCACATTTTGCACATATCAGGCGGGGCCTTTTATAGCTGATTATACGGTATGGGTTTATCTCATGGTTGAAAGCTGTACGGTGACCTATAATTGCTTTTATCCACGTCATTTGATCTCTGGTAGATAGTTGTCTCATAGGCAATCATACCACAGCTCCTTATTGTTATATACTGATTTTTTTCTGATGTATAGGAATAAGAAATAGTTTCTTGGAAGAAATAGTGCAAGAATTGCCTTACCGATCAGGTGGATGAGAAAACATCGCTAAAGCCAGATGAAACATTCAAAGTATCATTTAAAAAAACATTGCGAAAAAAATTATAACAGCCGACAAAAATTATTAGAGAATAAACGCTGCAAAGTGTTACAAAAATAATTAAAGAAAAATCAAAAGTTAACGAACGTAAACTTCCATAAAACCAACAATTTTCGTTTAAAATTTGAAAAAAATTGACATTGAGAAGGATTACGTTAAAGCTTGGTATGATGCAATCTCATTTTACTTTGGAATAATGGAGTTACAGGGAAAATAGGATTAAGGTAAAAAATGTATCTGACAAAGTTTATTTGGATTAACTGGCGTGCAACCGGCCATTAAGCCAATGGTTTTATCAGACAAGTAACTTTTAGATAACTCAATAACAAATTTAAAAAAAATATAGTAAGGACACTGATGTTTTGAGTGATAGAACTTCTTGGGGTCTGATATATTGATATAGTATCAACAAACGTTTTTTTTATTATCAGAAAGTCACATTGCATGAAGTTAGTTCTACCGTAGTTTGTAGTGGACCAGTGAAGATTTCATTTACTTTGGTACATTATTTTCACAAGCAAAATAGTGAGATCTGAATATATATGTTGTAACTGATTGAACTTTATTCCAAATCATCATGATAAAGCAACCGTTATCCTCGTCTCATGGGTTTTTGTGCTTTTAAGAATGCATTGTGACGTCACAATTTCCATTGAAAAAAGCATGCATGGTACGAATTCATATGACGTACGAAAACATATGATCTGACCATATATATATATAAGGAATAAATCGATTTATTTTCTCCTGTACCATTTAGCAAACAGTGTTTTTTTTACATATAGAAATTCACACTAATCCTAATACTTTTTTTACAACATGGTTAAATTTTATAGGCTGCATGATCTTCTCGGGTTTGTTCCGGACGCTCCTTGTACTTTTTAGTGCCACCCAAATAATTTGGTGAATCCGAAACTATGGCTTTGCAGTAAAGTTAGCAGATGACGTTTCCGGTTTGAGTCAGTTTCGAGTTGGAATCGAGAATGTAATTTGAAACGCTGATTACATTAAGTTTCCAGTACGGGCTTCACCATAGCACCATTTAGGAAGAAAGTATATTTCTCTTCTCTAGCTGCAAAGTTTGAAAGGTAAATATATTGCTAAACGCTGCCCGACAAGTACCACATTCCGCTTGTGGAGCAACAAGCGGTTGACTCTTCTGTCGGGTCTCACTAACTAGGATCGGGAACCACAAGAAATAAAAATTTAGCGTCATGAAATCTATATTGCTAGTAATGGCTTTTGTTTACTGTTGGGGTCCCAGTCCCCTATAAAGCTATATTAAACTATGTAACCCTTACCCTAACCCTAACCCTAATTAAGTTATTAAAATGTAACCATGCCCATGGGTGTGAGACAACTCGGACTGTCTACAAAAAAGACTGTCAATAAGTCAATTCTGAACGTCTTTAAAGTCAATTTGGACTGTCTATAAGTCATCTCGGACTGTCTATAATGACGACTGAGCCAACTCAGACATGAACATGATGAAAGTATGAACGGAGAGTTTTGTCTATATAAATGATTTTATGAGTGTCTTCAACAAAAAAGACTGTGTCTGAAGAGAAGTTGGACCATCTATAAGGCAAAGAATTAAAAAAGAGTATTGACCCCCATTTTTGCTAAAAAAAAATGTTTAAAAGGCAACTCCCATTGTTAATTAATTTAATTTAATTATTATGACTGCAGATAAAATGAAATGACATTATAAGAAACAAATATAATAAATAATGAACTCAACTACATGTAATGGATAAATTAAAGTTTGTTTAATGAATTAATGAAGATTGTGTTCAAAATATAGAAGCACCATTATGAAGTAGAAATTAAAATTTACATTAAATCATTTATTGCATATGGCACTTCATTTGCAGATGCAGCAAGGTATAAATGATACGTTTATATGTTAAATAGCCCAAACTCTTTGTTTATACTTTGTTAGAGTTGGCATTATAGACAGACAGAGTTGACTTTAAAAAGAAGGTCCAGGTTGACTTATATAATTGATAGTCTTTCTATGTTGTGATGTTACACTATTGTTTCAGAAAAAAGGTGGAGGTTTGGTACCATTAAAACGTTTAAACCCACTGCATTTGTTTGCGCCTGTCCTAAGTCAGGAATCTGATGTTCAGTAGTTGTCGTTTGTTGATGTGGTGCATAAGTGTTTCTCTTTTCTCGTTTTTTATGTAGATTAGACCGTTGGTTTTCCCGTTTGAATGGTTTTACACTAGTAATTTTTGGGGCCCTTTATAGCTTACTGTTCGGTGTGAGCCAAGGCTCCGTGTTGAAGACCGTACTTTGACTTATAATGGTTTACTTTTTTAAATTTTGTCTTGGATGGAGAGTTGTCTCATTGGCACTCATACCACATCTTCTTATATCTATTTATGTTAAACAAATAATAAAGAAAGAAATTTCAACAAATAAATAAAACTAATTCAACATAGACTTTTTTACTTAAAGTAAGTTATATAATAAATTGATGGAGATAAGTAGAAATTTGAATTCACACTAAACAAATTATTTTGATTATGTTTTGCAAATTTCGCAACATGTAAATGATACTCAATTTTGTAACTGTCATGTAAAACATAACATTTAATCATTTATTATGCGTATTGTTATGCGTTTACTTTTCTACATTGGCTAGAGGTATAGGGGGAGGGTTGAGATCTCATAAACATGTTTAACCCCGCCGCATTTTTGCGCCTGTCCCAAGTCAGGAGCCTCTAGCCTTTGTTAGTCTTGTATTATTTTTAATTTTAGTTTCTTGTGTACAATTTGGAGTTTAGTATGACGTTCATTATCACTGAACTAGTATATATATTTGTTTAGGGGCCAGCTGAAGGACGCCTCCGGGTGCGGGAATTTCTCGCTGCATTGAAGACCTGTTGGTGGCCTTCTGCTGTTGTCTGTTCTGTGGTCGGGTTGTTGTCTCTTTGACACATTCCCCATTTCCATTCTCAATTTTATTATCATTATAAACGGTTCAATTTGACTTTATAGATGGTCAGACTTGATTTTACAGATGGTGCGAGTTGAATTTATACATGTAGATGGTCTGAGTTCACTTATTAGTCCATCCAAGTTGACTCAGTCCAAGTTGTCTCCCTGATCCTCAAACCTTAGGCTTACCCTAACCTAGAACATACCCTAACCATAAGTGAACAATTACCCTAAAGTACATTTTTGTACAGGAACCCCTCCAGTAAAAGAAGAACCTATCAATTACTTCAAATAAATAAATATAGAAACATGAATTAAAGTGTTTTTTCAGTCCCTCTTAATTAGTGACAAGAAGCAACATGAAGAAATGTTTAGTGTCAAAAAAGTTTATATTAATACACATGTACATGTATGAGACAGGTGTAAACTGTGAAAGAGGATGAATTCTGTATTACAAATTTTATTTTCATTGTATTGTTGTCATTATCATATATTTTGTGGCTATTTAAAGTACATGTAAGTACCCAATCTCTGTTATTGCCAGGTTGTCAAAATACAGGCCTTTGCATATTGAATAGAAACAATACCATGATAAAGTAAAACATATGATAGTATCACACATTTTGAAAGATGGATCATATTGCAACTTATAATCAGTCTTCAAAATTAGCCAGTGGTTTGATGCCGTAGGCCAGTAAAATCGGACTCGGGCTTGTAAAAATTTCGAAACCAGGAGCCTGACGTCTTGTGTAAAATAAGTATCCACTTGTATGTTTTTTTCTTTATAAATATATAAATATTAAAATTAAACGTGTTATCATCCATGCAAAATTTCTGCTCTCATGTCTTTACATAAACATCTCCATGTAATGGGAACACTCCATATTCGCGGCTTTTGTCATTAATGGCTGGCCTGGGGCCCTGCAAGAGAGGTTCTGAAAGCTTTTACAAATAGCGCCAATTACACCCAGACGATTTTAAGGCATGCTAAAGGAAGAGCTTTTTTCCAATCACAAGCGATTTTGGGATACACTAAAGGAAGAGCTTTTTATCTGATCACACACAAAAATTTCCTATTTTTAGTTATTTTTTTTTGTGGAAAAAAAGGTAAGGGTCAGAGCCTACAAATAATGGTCAGTCAGACGACCTGTACATGTCTATTTTAAAAAAAAAAATTTTGCCTCAATACAATCTTGACTAGTTATGGAAAAGGGTTTGATGGTGAAGAAGAAAACGATGATGAGCATTATATTTTGGAAAGAGATATAGACTTTTTTCTGTAGTGTTATATGAGAGAATAAATGTTAAATTGTGCCTTGTTATAATGTTATTTTAAACATCAAATTTCATTAGCCGTAAAATTCTTCAAAGATTCTTCTAAAGAATATTGTTTTTTTATAAGGCTTTATGTAAATTGATGCCAATGTCTTAAGTATAGTTTAATCCTCCTTCATCCGCCTGTGAATCTCATCATTTATTTTTTTTTTCCTCATGTAATCACTGATCTCAATAAAAGACTGTCAATGTAGAAATTTGTTTCCTTTTTCCTTTAGAATTTCAGAAAATGAATACCGCAATAAAAGAACAAGGAGAAATGTCTTATCCAAGGCTGAATACTGAGAGTGATACCACATTAGAGAAACCAGATCTGGAACAACTCAGACATGATAGATTGGAAAGGAACATTGAAGTTATGAAGGTACAATTTACATATTCACATTTTTTTACCTGGTCAATAGCTGTCCTTCTGATAGACCTTGGGTAGAAAACATCAAAGTTTTCTTGGCTATAATGAAAGGGAATAATTTTATATTTGGTTTGCAAATTGAAAAGGTTGAGTTGTAGCTTGTAAGTAATTTTTAGATCTGCCCTGCATCTACTTCTTGTTTGCCAATAGTTTGAAATTTCTATCTATTGAACACAACAACTTTGGTCCCAACCTGGTATTGATCTTGTTTATATTAGATATAGTTCTTCTTCACAATGTTCATTTCTCTACATGTTTATAGTATATGTGGAATTTTTTTATGCCCCGTCTGAAGGCAATGTGGGCATTAAGTGTGACCCTTGACCGTCCTATCTGTCCATCCGTATTTCCTTCCATCCGTCTCATTTTTGTTTCTGCACTTTAACTTTAGTATCCCTCCTCCAAATTTATGAAACTTATACACAATGCTAAGAACCAATACTCGCAGACAGAGTTCTAATTTGGGTAGGGAAACACTTACCGTTCTAGAGTTATGATCCTTTATAACTAAGAAAATTGCAAATTATTCGTTTCCAATCTCTTTCTTTAGTTTGCCTAATGCAAATTTTATGAAACTTGTACACAATGCCAAGAACCACAACACGCAGACAGAGTTAGAATTTGGACAGTGAGTCATTTGCAGTTCTAGAGTTATGCCCCTTTTTAACTTGGAAAATTGCAAATTTTTCAGTTTCTACACTCTAACTTAAGCTGTTCATATCCAGATTTTATGAAACTCATTGACATTGCTAAGAACAACATTGTACAACACACAGACAAAGTTTGAATTTGGGCAGTGAGTCTTTGAATGTTCTAGAGTAATGCTCTTTTTTAACTTGGAAAATTGCAAAGCTTGAGTGGGGGAATTCGTGTCCTCCATTGAAAATTTATTCTATCCTACAACCCATTTACGCATGTTCATGTGTATCTGGGTATCATTGTTATTAATGATGTTTTCTGCTGATATTTAATATAAAACAATTTTCTAGTTGGAAAAAAAATCTGATAAATATATGAATATATTGTCCAATGTTTCCCCCTCTCCCCAAAAGCAAAACAATAAAATGTTGATAAAGTTGATTATGGATTATCTCCCTTACACTATGAAGAAGAAGAAGAAGAATATTTTATTTCCAATTATGGGAACATTACAACATCAATAATTTTCACAATACAATACAAACAATGAAATAAAAAACATAAAAAAAACAAAATAAAGAACAATTTAAGTTCTTAAAGTAATATATAGATAAAGAACCTATAATTTTAAATATGTAATGCATTATAATGCAAGTGTGATTTTTTCAAAATGACAAAGATTTAAAGGGATGACTTAAATAAATACAATTATATATAGAGTGCAATACAGACTCAAAGGATAGTACATCTAGATGTCAATTAAGTCTTGAACAACACATCTCACAGTGGTAGTTTTATCCAAATAAAGAAAACGTCAAGAAGAATAAAAGATCAGTTTCACATGCCTGGGGACCAAATAACATGAAAATTTGATAATTCTTTGAATTCTAAACCATTTTTATACGACAGCAAAAATTAAGAAATTTTTTGGTCGAATATTGGTATCACGTTGTCGTCGTCAGCGTCGTCCGAAGACAGATGGTTTCCGGATGATAACTTTAGTATAAGTAAATAGAAATCAATAAAATTTTAACACAAGGTTTATAACCACTAAAGGAAGGTTGGGATTGATTTTGGGGGTTATGGTTCCAACTGTTTAGGAATTAGGGGCCAAAAAAGGGGTCCAAATAAGCATTTTTGTAGTTTCCAGACAATAACTTGTGATAAAGTGTATGAATCTCTCTGAAATTATACCACAAGTTTCCATTCTACAAGGGGGTGGTTAGGATTGACTTTGGGGGGTTATAGCTCAAACCATTTAGGAATTAGGGGCAAAAAAAGGGCAATTGAGACAATTTAAAAGCAGTGTAAGGGAGGTACATGTAATCCAAATCAAAATCAAAATCAATTTAAATAACCATGTTTGATTACCTCCCTTACACTGCTTGTAAATTTTGTATTAAGAAATGATGATTGTCTGAGATACTGACCATAACTTGAGGGAAAGAATTATTTTTTTTTAATAAGGGAAAGGGGGGAGGTGAAAAAAATTGGAGGGGGCAATTTTTCTCATTTCAGATTTCAGAAATTAAAAGAAAATTTCTTCAAATATTTTTTTTGGGGGGTTAATATTCAACAGCATAGTGTATTGCACAAACACAAAAAAACTGGGTAATTTTTTTTTTTTGGGGGGGGGGGGGGTCAATTTGCATAGTGTATTGCACAAAAGCAAAAAATTGAATATAAATTCAATTCATATAACCAATTTGAAGTTCTTTGACTACAGTTATTCTGTGTCAGAAACCTATTATATGTCAAAATTTGATTACAATCCAAATTCAGACCTGTATCAAGCGTGAATGTTGTGTCCATTTTGGCCCCAACTTTTCAGGGTTGGACATCTGCGGTCGTATCCAGCTGTGATCAGCGAAGCAATTTATTTATTATGCTGAGCAGCGACTAACTTTAGTTTGCCTCAGCTAAATGTTATGAAACTTATACACAATGCTTATTACCACAAAACACAGATAAAGTTTGAATTTGGGTTGCATCACTTTTACTGTTCTTGAGTTATGTCCCTTTATAATGTCATATGCAAGTGGGGGCATCATCTGTGTCCCATGGACACATTATCCATTTATTTTCTCTCTTATTAATTGTTTAATTTTTTCATAATCAGTGTGTTGTATGCTTGTACTTAGCTTTCTTGGTCAAATTTCCCTGATCTCGTGATCTATGGTTTTGCAATGGGGACCAAAGGCTTTTTTCCTCCTTGGTAATTTGTTCTATTCAATGCTCATCTTTCTCCAAAAAACTTTCTTTTTTATTTTTATACTTTTTTGTCTAATTCATTATCTTTCTCGATAATTGAAAACAAAATAAAAAGTTTAACTTCATGTTGTTGTCAATAAGTGACAAAAATACATAGGTTATTAAAATCTATTTCGTTTCAACAAAAAATTATATGTATATATGATAAATGATGGCTAAGCTGTCTTAAAAATTATCACTGCAAGCTGATATCATAATGTCATTTAATACCACTTGAAAGTGTCCTTAATTACATTGTATGTCAAAATGTCAGCTTAACGAAAGGGGTTGACTATTGGATAGTCTTTCTTGAAGTGTTTCTTCAGCCAAGACATTGTACTGGTAATTGATTGCAATCAGTTTCCTTTATATCCTTGGCTTCTGAATATGATAATCAAATTTATGTGAAATTTATTTTCTGTGCAATAGATGAGGGTTATATTTAAAGTCAATTTTTGAATTGCAATAAATGTATTTCATACCATCTTGCACTTCTAAGATTACATGTAAGATGCTCAATAAATAGGAAAAATTGTAATAAAAGAGTTGTTTCAATATGTATTTTCTAATTTTTCAATATCTATTTCCAAATTTTTCAGTATGTGTTTTCTTATTTTTATAAGGACTATGTATCTCACACAAGTTACATTGTCCCTTATCATTGCTTATTGTCAAAATACTGGAAAATTATAAAAATGAATTGAGTAAGTGGGGGTTTATTGAATCTTCCTTCTATGAGTTATTAAATATTAAATTAGCAAGTACAAATATACGTATTGCACTGCAATTCACAGATTTATCTCCCAAAATCCTCCTGTTAAATACTCAATCATACTTTTTTACTGTCTGTCTTTTTTAATATTTTTATTATAATGATAGGAAAACTATCTATTTTATTGTTATATTTAAATTTGTCAGAACCATTCAGCATTTATACTAAGTTGTAAACCGGGATATGTTTTTAAATTGGAAGTAAATTAATTAAAAAACCAACACTAAAACAACTCAATGGAGTCACCTTCATTAATATAAAATGTATCTAATTAATTTTTGCTTTGTTGCACGATGTACAAAACCAGTTTAAAGTATGGTGATGTTAGGCAGGGAAAAATGGGTATTTAATTAGTGTGATCAAATCCTTCAGTTTTTAACTCGGATCCCTGAAACTCCAAAGAAAGATTGCACACATATGGAAGTTATTCACCTGCTCTTGTGAAATTGTGTAAACATTTTTTCCCGGTTTTCCCAATTTTATATTTCCATATAAACAATTGTTTAAGAAAATTCTGTGCAACCTGACCATGTGAGTCTTTCGTTCTATTCTAAATTGAGTTATCCAGCAGCAACATAAATATATTTGTTATCTCCAGCATCAATCAAAATACAACTGGAATCAGGTTTGATTGTGATGCCACTCACTTGTACACGGTTTTGTTGGAATTAGAAAATTGATGTGTCAAAGAAGAGCATCATATAAAGATATTAATGTGTCAATATAATGAAAGAGACTAAATGTTATCTGTGTAAACAGGCAAAGAATTATAAAAGGTTGTTTAATGATTCATATCTTTAAAGTAATGTTTTGTTTTTTAGGCATTTAACCCTGCAATTACTAAAGCACTTTTTCCTGGAGTAAGTATAATACAGATAAGGTTGTAAAAAGGAATTCCAAATATGGGATGGGGAATATATAGTCCTATGTCAATATCATGTAAGATCATAGAGGGTAAAGAAAGTTTTTGTAGAAAATTGTTTGGCTTCATTAATTAATTGCTTCCTTTCTGTAACTAAAATTTGAAAAGGAAACTACTTTCATGTTTTTGAAATTTGTACATCATTTTTGTCATGAGCAAAAATATAATAACACAAGATCTTAGACAAAAACCTGCCACACCTGTTGTTAATGTGGTTGGTATAAATGAAGATAAGATGAAATGACAGTTTGAACTTTTATGACATTAACTTAAGCTCTATCTATAGCATTCAGATCTTTCTCAGCCCACCTGACTCACAAAACCAGTGTGAACTGTTGTGTCCATCATCTAGATCTGTTGACTATCCAATAAATTTTCACAATTCCATCATATAAAACTTGAGCCAATTTAGAACAAACCTAGCTTGAGTAACATATACATGTATATGTAAACTGAAGTCTTTTTAAAAATTCACATTTCTGTCAAATTTGATGAGAAATATGGCTGTCAGAGATGATAATTGATTCTAATGGGTCAAATTTCTTGTTCTCTGAAAGTAAAGGTTAAATCTTTTGAAATTTTATAGCAGTGATAATTTGGAGATTCTTTACAAAGTTTTCAAAATTCCTGCTGCTATGACAAACATGCAGCATTGATGCCACAGATTTCATAGAACCATAAATTAGTTACTGTAAATTCAGAAATTATTGCGTGCATTTATTATTGCGATTTTGTCATTTTAGACTAAAATGCGATTTTAACTTTTGCGATATTGAGAAAACTCCTGTTTAATTCTTAAAAAAAATTTCAAAATGCGAGTTCAAATTATTGCGATTATAACCCTGTCGCATTTTTCGCAATAACTTCTGAATTTACAGTACCTGTTTCGCTGGAGCTTCGTGTATGATATTCAACAAACTTATCAATAGTAATACATTTATTAAGGTATTTTATAAAAAAAAAGCACTTCATTTCATTAAGATCAGTTAGATGCTGTTCTTGAGAAAAACTTGAAAGGAAAAAGTATTTACATATCTTTGTTTGTCAGATATTCTTTTCATGATAACTGTAAAAGTAAAAGAGTTTAAAAATACTCATAAGAAATTTTCTATATTTAGGATCAATTTTACATGTTCCATTTGCAAACAAAATGTTCATGTAAATCATATAAATCATCCTTTTATATTATACCTCTCATAGTAAATTCAAGCGATATCTTTTAAAACTATATAACTAGATGTTACTGGAGAGTGAATACATAACTTCTTGCTACCTGATAAAAGCATCAGTGAGACTTCTGAATGCTTCCTGTCTTCATAACTTTATTATGATGGTCTAATGAACTTTTATTCATTCCAGTAAATACTGCATGTTCAGTAAAAAATTAAGCAACTTTATGAAACATTTGTTTCTTTAATCTTTCAGGAGAAGAAAGAAGAAAACTGTTTAGAGCACTGTGCAACATGCATACAGAGGCATTTCAGGGGCTACCAGGGGAGAAAAAAATATGTTGAGCTACTGTACCAACAGTTTTCTCAGGTAATTAACTTGATAACATTATAAAAGTTCAATCCTGTACTGTCAAACTCACATCAATTAAAAAAATATAAAGATATATATAGCAGAAATTATCAAAAATTCATATTAAACATAGCACATGACTTATTTACCCATAAGAAATTTGCTTTTCAGTAAAAAAAGAGTCTATTTTTTCTATTAAACAAAACATAGTGTATGTAATCTGCTTTTGAAATGAATAAAAAGATAAAAGGGGTAAATATAAACAAGAGACCAAAGACATTATATAAATAAGATGTGGGATGATTGCCAATGAGAGAACTCTCCACAAAAGACCAAATGACACAGAAATTAATAACTATAGGTCACCGTACGGCCTTCAACAATGAGTAAAACCCATAACGCATAGTCAACTATAAAAGGCCTCAAAATGACAAATGTAAAACTAAGCAAACGAGAAAACTAATGGCCTGATTTATCTACAAAATAATGAACGAAAAACAAATATGATATACAACAACAAACAACAACCACTGAATTACAGGCTCCTAACTTGGGACAGGCACATACAGAATGTGGTGGGGTTCACACAGTTAACCAAGAATTGATATCTAGGTTCACAGTCAAGCCTTCACAATATCATGATAATAAATTCTATTTTTGCACTTTTAAGGAGATGTTTTAATCAAATTATACTTGCATAGAAAAAATTTATCTGTTTATTAGTTGAACTAGTTTGTTGTAATATGCAAGTACTTTAAGGTTAATACTTTTTCCACTGTTATTTCTTTTAAAGATGTTGCTTTAAGTTACAATCTGATGAATATGAAGTAAATGTCATTTTTGATTAGTTTCACTATTATCCTAGCTAAGTGGGAGACCACTTGAGCACTATAAATATATCTTATCCATTCACATACCTTAATGTACATATCCCATGCCAATAGCTAATTCTCAATAATTTTGATATATTATGACAACACTCTATTCCTTATTCCCAAAGGAATTTATTCCCTTCAAAATTTATCATTTAGTAGTTAATTCTTTGTTATTTTTGCAATATTTAAAAACTGTTCGATAAAAGTTACCGGTAGGTATAAATAAAGATTTAAAATCTAGCTTAGTCTTATTAACTGTAAACTAATTTGTTTTTAGAGATATGGAAATAATTCTCAACTTGAATTCCTTTGACAGGATTTTGGAAATATTAGGAGTCTGCTTAAGATTACCTTATTTATATATATATACATGTATCTCTGATTTCAGCAAGAACAAGAAAGATTTGAAAAGATAATGCGGCAAACAGAAGAAGGAGAATTGTTAGTTGAAAAGTAAGTTGTGTAATTTTAAGTTAATAAAACAGTATATTCAATAGAAACAGAACCAATTCATAAAGAAAGCTGTGTAATTGTACATCTTTGGTTGGACTTAAAATGTTAAATATGCTGAATTGGAATACCAGACAAATCTGTCCAAAATACCATATTTTTGGGAAAAGATGACTTTTCAGTACCAGTTGATGATAACGACTTTGAAACTATTTGCAAGGTTTAAGTTAAGTGTATATATTGCCCTTCCAGAATGCAGAAGTATAAAAGAAGGCCTGTTGGCACAACTTGTCACAATAATCCCAATCTGCTCTCTTGTGTTTTATGCTCAGCCGTATTATTTGTCCTATACCTTTATGCTTGTTAAAAGAATTCAAAAAGCTGGTTAAGATTAGGGATCTAGCTGGAGGAACTGCAGAAACAAATCTGCCAGTTTTTGTCAATGAAATAAGTCCCTATCTGTAGTTTTGTTTTTGTCTCAACGATATTGATAACTTACATTCAGCCCATGCTTTTTGACGCTATCAATCATAAAAATGGAAATTTGAAGAACAAATTAACATTTGATCTTTTTGTCTTGTCTATGATCAAGGTCAAGACTTATTGATTCTGCAGTCTTTTATCATGACTTCTGTACATGTGTTGTCAACATTAAGGGTCAGTTTGTGGTTAATCTGATAAATGAACTTCATTGAATTTCACAAAGCTTGGACAGAAGCTTCTTCATAACAAAAAGATATCTCCCAGAGCAAAGTTTTTTATTTTTTTTAATCTATTTTTCTGTATTTCACTGATCAATGAACCACTAGTATTTATACACCCGTTTACGGGACATATTATGGTTTACCTCCATCTGTCCATCCGTCTGTCCGTCTGTCGTCAACATGTCGTACATGAACTCAAAAACGATTTAACCAATTTGCATAAAACTTTGGTGAATTGTTTATATCTATTGACGTGAGCTCCCTTTCGTTTTTTATAAATTTTAGATTTTACGTCTCCGAGTTATGGGGTTTTATTCATTAAAAAAAGGGGGATTTTCCAGTTTTCGGACATAACTCAAGAATGCTTTCACCAACTTGCAAGAAATTGTGGTGAATTGTTTATATCTATTGACATGAGCTCCCTTTCAATTTTTATATATTTTAGATTTTACGTTTCCGAGTTACAGGGTTTTATTCATAAAAAAAGGGGGATTTTCCAGTTTTCGGACAAAAAATCAAAAATGCTTTCAGCAGTTTTTATGAAACTTTGGTGAATTGTTTATATCTATTGATGTAAGCTCCGTTTATTTGGGTGTTAACATACCATTTTTACACTGACTGCGGCAGTCAGAGGGGTGATACAGGGTTATGTAGAACCCATTTCCAATTTTTTCAGATCCAAACTCCTTTTTCAGCACATTCACACACTAAATTTTTTTTTATTTTCATTTTTTTAATTATATATATTAGGTCAGATAGTGTGTTCCCAAGTGCATTTTGATTAAAATCATCGCTTGCATAAGTTTGAGAACATCCCTGAAACAAGGCAAAGATAGACACACATCAATGACATCATTCATGACCTGTAAACTATTGAATTTATCAGCACTCAGTAATTTATCAATATGCAAGGGTTAATTTCTTTAATGATAGTCCATTCCTACAACTTTCAATACCAAAAATTCAGTAAAGCCAGGTGTTAAATATTTATGTTCTTGTTTTCCGAATTAGAAAAAGGTTGATATACCTCAAGTGAATACATATCATCATTCACCAGATATATATATGAAGGACTCAGAACCGTGATGGTACTCTGAACCGCGATGGTCACGCTGAAGTGCGATGGTCCACGCTGAAGTGCGATGGTTAACACGCTGAAGTGCAATGGTGGCATTGTGACGTTAACTTTGTTGATAGCTACGCTGAAGAACGATGGTCTGCCTGTGACATTGAGTATAAAAGCAAAATAGACATGAGCTGTTTGAATGAAATACATGTTACATCATTAAAGGAGCAACTATTTAACTTCAAGGGGGTGTATGGTTTTTTGTCTGAGTCAGAAAATTAGCAAAGCGCTAACATTTATTTTAGTTTAAAATTAAAATTTAACACTATAAGGTATTGGGAAAATCTGGATTCAGAATATTTTTTTTGTCAGTTGCCTAAGATTTGACAACAGTAGTTGCTAGCCTCGCATTTGGAAGATCTTTTAATTTCTGTTCAGGTCAAACCAAAGACTTTAAATTTTGATTTTTTTTAATCTAATTTTAAATTTGCCAATGCTCCGATTAGCACTAAGTAGTATGGGTTCAGAAAATAGGGTGTTAAAGGGCGAAATCAAAAAAAATATTCAGCTTGTAGGTCTATATAATAGTACTAAGCAGGGTCCATCTCATTTTATCAAATATTATGACAAAACTTAGAAATTGCTCACAACAATTATTCATCCATTTATATATACACTACCAGGAATTTATACAGTGTTTAAATGTACTTGGCGTTTTTTACTTCGTGGACACTGTTCCGACATAAGGTTTACTTTGTGGTATACCTGATGTCGGAACAGTGACCAAAAACACCAAGTACATTTATGCTTGACTAATAGCGAAACTTGTCAATTATTCCAAGAAAGACTTAGTTGAGGATGATAAATTGGGAAGTACACGTTGGGACCAGTCATGTTAATTTCGGCCTAACATGTTGTAGACAATTAACACTGTAACCACAATAGAATAAGACTAGAGCGACGGTGTTATTACAAATCTGGATTTATCTCGGAAATAAAACAACATTATATCAACTTGATATAACAAAAACATTGCTAATGCTAGCAATTATTTTTTTTTATTAAGTTGTCCACATAAAATCACCTGACGTTTACTTAAAGATAAATCAAATTTAATATTTAGATCAATATAATTTATCTTGCAAAAAGTTTGCGGCATAATTCCGAACACTGGTAAGCCCATTTGCTGACCGTTCATCTTTCAGCCGCTTTGCGCCCCATGATTTGCCTCCACATGCAATGCTCAAAACTTGAAACGTTCGTTACTTTCTTTTTCCCTTCCTTTCCTTTGTTAGCATGAAACCTTCATCTACAACCCTATCCTCCTGCCTGTGAATCCATGTTGTATTTGAAAACATCACAATATTCAAACGTCATGCTAAACCATCACACCTCAGCGAAAGGACCATCGTACTTCGGCCTGGACCATTGCACTTCAGCGTGACCATCGTACTTCAGTGTCCCCATTGCACCTCTGAGTCCTACATATATATTCATTTTCATTTGTTCTCAACTTGAAAAAGTCATTTCTTTACATCACATAAAGTCAAATTAATGTTTCAAAACTGAAGTAGATCCACAAATCCACTGAGGTATAAATCATCAATATCATTAAAATACCTGACAAGAAAATGGAACATATGAAGCATTTTATAACAAAACAAAACTGATAACAGCTAGAATGGCATTAATAACTGCAAATGCACTTGTTTATTGGTAACTTGGGTATGTCTTGCTGACTGATATTCTCTTAATCACTGTATGCTTCATCCTCATATTCCCACATTAGTTGTCTGGAATAGATTGAAACACTGTTATAGCCATACGACAGTAAAACAATACTTTACAGAAGCTAAATGTTATAATAAGTGGACAGAAAAATAAAATAAAGTTTTAAACACTGTCTGATATATGTTATTCAACATTTGCCTCATTTTAAATGATGTAGATAGTTCATTTCTGACAGGTTAGGGATTATTTTGACCTAAATATGATTCTCAATGCTTGGATTTCTTGCAAGAAGTTATTCTATGACCTTCATCTATTTTTATACGACCGCAAAAAAATTTTGTGGTCGTATATTGGTATGACGTTGGCGTCCGGTGTCGTCGTCGTCGTTGTCCGAAGACACATTGGTTTTCGCACTCTAACTTTAGTTTAAGTGAATGGATCTCTATGAAATTTTACCATAAGGTTCAATACCACAAAAGGAAGGTTGGGATTGATTTTGGGGGTTATGGTACCAACAGTTAAGGAATTAGGGGCCAAAAATTAGCATTTTTGTAACTTCCAGACATAACTTGTGTGTTAGTGTATGGATCTCTCTGACATTGTACCACAAGGTTCCATATCACAAAGGGAATGCTTGGATTGATTTTGAGGGTAATTGCCTCAAAATTTTAGGAATAAGGGGCTAAAAAAGGGGCAAAAAAACAAGCATTTTTCTAGTTTCATGACAATAACTTGTGTGTAAGTCTATGGATCTTTCTGAAATTGTACTACAAGGTTCCATATCACAAAGGGAAAGCTGGAATTGAGTTTGGGAGTAATTGTCCAAAACATTTAGGAATAAGGGGCCAAAAATAAGCATTTTTCTAGTTTCCAGACAATAACTTGTGTTCAAGTGTATGGATCTCTCTGAAATTGTACTGCAAGGTTCCATATCACAAAGGGAATGTTTGGATTGATTTTGGGGGTAATTGCCCCCAAATTTTAGGAATTAGGGGCAAAAAACAAGCATTTTTCTAGTTTCATGACAATAACTTGTGTGTAAGTCTATGGATCTTTCTGAAATTGTACTACTAGGTTCCATATCACAAAGGGAAAGCTGGAATTGAGTTTGGGGGTAATTGCCCCAAACGTTTAAGAATAAGGGGCCAAAAAGGGGCCAAAAATAAGCATTTTTCTAGTTTCCAGACAATAACTTGTGTTCAAGTGTATGGATCTCTCTGAAATTATACTGCAAGGTACCATACCACAAAGGGAAGACTGGGATTGATTTTGGGGGTAATTGCCTCAAAATTTTAGGAATTTGGGGCCAAAAAGGGGCAAAAAACAAGCATTTTTCTAGTTTCAGGACAATAACTTGTGTGTAAGTGAATGGATCTTTATGAAATTGTACTACAAGGTTCCATATCACAAAGGGAAAGCTGGGTTTGAGTTTGGGGGTAATTGCCCTAAATGTTTAGGAATATGGGGCCAAAAAGGGGCCAAAAAACAAGCATTTTTGTCGA